ACACTCACCTCTGCTGCCTCCTTGCAGAACTCGAGTCCGATATCTTCGAGTGACTTCTTCACTTGTTTTCGGGCTCTCCTTATTCTCGCGAGATTATTCACTGGGAGCTGGAACATTTTACCTTTTTTAAACCAACAAGAACACAAATTATTTAAAGCGAAGCTACGTTTTTCCACACAGATCGCTGAATACCAACAMCGTGCAGCTCATCACAGATCCATCACAGGAGCAGCTACAACACTAGCTAAAAGTGAGGCGGCACAATTCAGCGTCCTTCACTTGCAAATTAGCTGCTAATGCGATACAAAGTGTTACATTGAGTGCATCATATAAACGTTGTCTTTGACAAAATGTTAAACGAAATACTGTGACCTGAAGTATGACGCTACGTCTCGAAATGCGACACAGTTGCACATTGCGTTAGCTTCTTAGGCTAATGTTAGCATCGCTGCCCGCTCTCAGGCGTCGGCATGGTCAGCACAGAAAGCTAGGGTCACTTTTTTGTTTCCCCTGAACTCGACTAAGGCCTTTTACTCACCTCAGGATACGTCTGCAAGACGGACTTTACGCAGTCTGTTACACCGACATAAATGCCGAACGAAGAAGTTAACTGAGGTCGGGAGGAGAAGACCGGTGATGTTCAGGCTTCTCGGCGCCGGGGAATTGATGCGCTCCCGCTCCACAGCTAGCTGGCTAAAAAGCTAACAGCTAGTTGGTTAGTTTTACTGTGGAGCAGCTGCTAGCCGTAAGAGTCAAACAGAAGAATAGAAAGAACTACGTCCTATGAATACATTGCATTTCGGCACTAACAACTGTCTGGACAACGATTTGTCCACTATATCTCTGGAAATCGCTCCAGCGGTGAGACAGCTACGTTTTCAGCTCGGAATGATCAACACGCAATACAAAATGGCGACCACAAAAAGACGGAAGTAGCGGCGGTCTGATGAGAGGGACGTGCATTTGTGAACGAGACAGGACCACTCAAACTTTTAAACCGTTTTAATAGTTTATTTGTTSTAGTTGTGAATCACTAGCCACATCAAGAATAATGTTTACACACATTCAATTGCACAAGCACGTGCATTCTGCTCCTGCAGCAAGAACTGGCCAAGCTCAGCTTATTGTCCTAAAATAATGTCAAACACAACTATGGTAAATACTTTTAAATATACATTTGTTTTAATGTAGTTGTCGTTCCTGTGGCTCCATAACTTCCAGTACTGAAACGTGAGGTCCTGACGTCAGCAGTCTGGTTACTGTCCTGTAGTTCAGGTAACGAACACACCTGCCATTCACCTGGTACCTGGTGTGTGTGTGNCTGGCTTCTAGCCAAATGTTTCAATATCTAATGCAATCTTTTAATACTAACCAAAAATTTAGGTGCATAAAATTTTCTTACTCATCAAGTTGCTCAAACAGTGCAGGAGAACCTAGTCTGTACAGACAGGTCAATAATTCAAAGATTTACAAGTGGGATTGGATTTTATGTGGAGCTTTCAGCCAATCGAATAGATTTCTGTGTTAGTGCACAGTTTGTCTTAAAAGTGCAGCATTGTTGGAAGTCTAATATCAGAAAACCACAGAACCGTTCAAGCCATCTTTTTATTATTGCTGTTTTCTAATGTAGCAAACAAACTAAATCTGTTGCGTAATTTTCTACTCAGTGAATATTATGAAAGAAAAACATAATTAGGGCTGCAACTAACGATTATTTTAATAATCGATTAATGTGTTGATTATTTTTCGATTAATCGATAAATTGGCCAAATCATTAAACACATAAATATGAGTATATATAAATTCATTTAATTCCTGTATAAATTAGTGATGCAAGTTATCGATTAATAAAT